ATATCTACCTGAAAAGAGGGAATACTCTAACCCAGTGTTAATCATTGGATGGTGACTCATTTAAGTAGATGTAAAAGACCAGTAAGATGGAATTAGGAACGATCGATAAAATAATCTGCAATGAAGGTTGAAGTAATGAAACGATGATGGGGATTAATGGAGAATCTGGACTAAAAACCAAATTTTCCACATATATATCCAAATCAGATAAAAGACCTCTCTACGCAGCAGCAAAAGTATTTGTAAAACGTAAAGAAAAGTAAGACAGGAAATAAAAAGCTGTACTGGCTTAAGCTTCTGCTAGAAAAAAAAAGTAGTAATTGCTGAGAACGCAGGTTAAGAAGAGATAAAACGAACCTTGGGAGGTAATTTTGTCTCTTCTTAAAGGATTGAAGTCTTACGCAAGAAAAGAGAATCTAATTTCTGCATTTAGAAAAGAAAAATATCCAGACCTAATAATGTGATAGAATGAACTTAAGATTTGAAGAAATTTGCCAAGGTTACTAATATGAGCACAAGTGTTTGACAATGTAAGGCAATAGAATGGTGGATTTCGGGTGTAAACCATTCTTGAAATTCTACGCTTAGTTTTCTTTGAAGTCTTTTGATTCCTTCTCTCATTTGATTTCACATAAGGAATCATGCAAATGAGTCAACAAACAAATAAACAGGAAAATGATCAAAAAAAAATGAGCACAATAGACAAACAAATAAAGTAATGAAGAAATCATGTGCAATTCTAAAGTAAAAGCCCTAATAACAGAGTAATTAATGTTTTAGAAACCAAGCAGAAGAAAACTCAACGCCAATTGTCCTTCGGCTGCTTCTCGAGCCTTGGAAATGAATGCATGTCCATAATGCATAGATTAGAGCAGTAATTAGGCATGCAAATGTTGACGAATTGTCGGGTACACGCGACAAATGCCATAGATGTAGTTAGAGAGCGGAACAATGTCGGATCTAATCGAGGATACGCGAACAATTAACATCAGTACTCTGCAATTCGGCAACGGGCCAAAAATCGCTTTCGTAGTAGTTTCAAAAGGGGATTTGCGCTAGTAGTAGCAC